GAAGCTTATATATATATATATATATATAGCGTAAAGAATAAGATTTTGAGAAATGTTAAAATATAATTAAATAGTTGATAATTGGTAAAATAATTCTGCGAAACACGCGAAGACAGGCATATTAAAAAATTTATTGCAAGATTAAGACGTTGAGATGATGAGGAATTTTATAAAACCTCATATGTGTAAGATGTTGAGAAATTAAAAATGTTGACTATGTATTCGTATTAATAATTATAAAATATATATTGAAGAAATTGATAAATATATTATTCCAAATCTGTGCTTACGTTTATATATTATTAAAATCATACCAATTATTGAAAGAACAAACAAAAAAATAAAATTTAAAAAAAAAAAGCTGATGAATAATCACATTCTATCAGAAACAGGCTTTTTTTAAAACTAGACATTTCTTGAATAAACTGTTTTAATCAAATCTCTTTATTGAATTACGAACAAATTTTCAGACAATAATATTATATCTATGATGTACAGTCGGCAAAAAAAAAGATCTAATGATCGGATTTTCACGAACTAAGTGTAAATCTTACTGGTTTCTGGGGGTGATCTCAAACATGCAAATTATTTAGTACTAACTGTTAATTAAGTTACGAAATCAGACACGAAAACGTACTTTTTCTGAATAAACATATTTAAACCTATTTGGATTCTTAACCTTCAAAATATAGGGGGAAGCAGCAATCTGGAAAATATGGTCAACCCTAGTTCGATCAGAACAGCGATTCAAAGTTCGAACCCCTTAATTTTACCTTTTGCGTTTTCAGTCGTATTTTTAAAAATACTCAAGCAATTCAAAAAAATTGCCCTCCTTTATAAAACCCATTTACCAAAAGATAATTTTATGCAAAAAATAATTTTAATAATTATTTAATATTTTCTATTACTTAATTTAATTGGGGATGAAACAATTTTGAATTATGAGGCATACATTTTTTTAATACCATATTAATCTACGTATTTTTCTATTGCAAAATCTAAAATTTCAACAGTTTTTATTCGGTAGAAGCCGAGAAAATTTTATATTAATTATTTTCAAAAAAATAATTTGGCGGCAATGAAGATATATTTAAATGGGGCAATTATTCTTTAAATGTGGTTAACTTACGAGGAACTTGACTTACGCGCTCGTAGAGTAAAATTTTATTTATATTTTTTTCGCTATTAACTGATTGCTAATCCTTTTTTAAATTATAAAATAATTCGTTATTCAATAGATTTGAATAAAACATATTTTATTAAAGAGGAACATTTTATTAAAGAATATTGCATTTTATAACAGCATGTTTCCGGTAGAATGTGATTATACATCTGCTTTTTTTATTTTATTTGTTAGTTTGTTCTTTCAATAATTCATACAATTTCAATAATATAGAAACGTATGCATAGATTTGGAATAATATGTTTATCAATTTCTTCAATATATATTTTATAATTATTAATACGAATACGTAGTCAACATTTTTAAGCATCTTAAAATTTCTTAACTTCTTACGTATCGTCTTAATCTTAAAATAAATTTGTTAATTATCTGTCTGCGCGAGTTTCGCAGAATTATTTTTCTAACTATTTAATTAAATTTTAACATTTCTCAAAATCTTATTCTTTACACTACCACGTATATTATTTCTCCAGTAATATACTAATCAATTGTTTTAGTACTTTAATTTATGTTTTCCTTTAAAATAAAATTCCTTTTCAAATTATTGTTAAGTTTTTATTGAAAGAAAACTTAATTATTTCCATCTAGCTGAGAGAGATCTTAAGAAATTAAAAATATTCTGCTGATCATAATTTTTCGATGCAGAACAGTTAACTAATTACTTATTTATTGTTTTCGAAAAATAAAGATAAATTATTGTCCTTCTTTATTGTTTAAATAATGAAAAATAAATGCATATGAGTGCACAGCAAAAAAATACAATAGTTTGCTTTGTTTTCTTTAATGAACAAAAAACTATGGACTTACAATTTTATTTTGATGTTCCAAGTTAATCTTGCCCGCTAACTTTAAGAAAGTTGCCCTTTTTTTTTAAAAAAAAAATTGAAAATATTTGCTTAAAAAGTTATTGTTTCTCAACTTTAGCACAATTCAAAAAAATATTGTTATATCAGGAAAATGCTCAATATGCCTCGTCTTGTTAAACAGCCACTAAAATAAAATTTTTTAAAAAAATATTCCAAAACCATGCTATTTTTAGAATCATTATCTCAAAAATTGTTCTTTTTCTAACTTAAGGATTTTTCCTACTTAAATAACCTATAATAATAGTTTTTACACACCTTTGAAGAAATTACGAATACAAATTTTGATCTAATATTTCGCAATAAGGAGACAAGAATATTAATGATTCATTGAAAAGAAGTAGTTAATTTTTTTCGAAAGATTTTTTAGATTCTTTCTACTAGGGGTCATGTCATTCGACTCTAAAATTTCAAAAAAATGCAAAAATTACACGAATGCGTAAGCTGGTTTTAATTAATAATAAAAAAAGGACAAAATAGTCGACTGAAGAAGTTATCTTATGAGAAGAATGTGAAAGTTAAAAACTGTAACAATTTGTTATTCTTGTTTAATTAGGGGTATTATAAACCAAAATTTTCCTTTCTTTAAATTATATTTTTTAACCCCTTAAAGATCGGTTACATTTAAGAAAACAGTCATAAAAGTGCCTATTTTTTTTGTATTTGATTAGTGCTGAAATCTAGTTTAAAATAAATTAACTATCTACAATTACCTTTAAAAATATCCTGGTACTGCTATCTGGTGTATAAAATGAGAAACTAAATGTTTTCCGGGCAAAAGAAATGATTTAGTTTTATTCTTATTGGAGCGTTATTACACTCCAGCCCGTCAATATCACGGGAGCGAGAAATAGCGGGCAAAAACTCAACCCGTCATTTTCACGGGAGCGAGAAGGAAGGGGTTAATAAACTAACGAAATGAGTGTGCAAACCATTCTTTTTACTACCAACCAAGTTTACTTAGTATCATTTGCAAATCTTATGAAGTGCATAATTCTCGAGCTCCTGTGTAGTGTAGTAGGATATTTTATACAATCAATCTATGAACTCTTATATTAGTAGGGAGCTAACTTCTTTAAAAATTCTTATTCGGAAAATTACTTATTTTACAAATGTTGCAAAGCATGTGTATTTTTAAAATGGTTATTCATATAATTTTCACATTGGCCAACAGTTTCTTCCTTGATGAATTAAAAACCATGACCCTAGTAAGCAGTGGAAAACTAAATCCTTATTAATTATTATCTTTTAACTTTTTAAATTTTTTTTTCTCTAAACTTGCTATTTGAACTCTATGATCCGCTGCAATATGCTTTTGTTGGAGTCAAAATATTGACATTCTTTATATTTTTCACAATTATCGTGCATCAACATAGTTAAAGAAATTAACATTTTTAAAGATTTGAAATCATTTTTCAAAGAACGCATCTCTAAAAATACTTCGACGAATCATAAAAAATAATTTTTCACAATTTATGAGTTAGTTTACCCTCTATGCTAAAAATGATGAGTTTTTGTAAAAAAGAACAAACCAACTGAAATAAAAGAACTGACAGGAAAAGATATATAAAAGTTTGCTACACTACACTAAATAAATTATTTACATTTAATAATCAAAAATACAAATTTACAAAGCATTAATTTGCTTTATATAATTTTTTAATTTACAAACGAGAAGTTTTATGGCATTTAGCTAAATTATGTTTTACAATATTTGCACTGTTAAAAATGCTTAAAAGGTATCCACTTAAATCCTATAGGAAGAAATTCAGACATTTTAATTCTATTTATAGTTTTCTTTTAAATAAGCCACAGATTATTTAACCAATGAATATCACTGACTAATTGATCAAAAAGTTAAATTGTTAATTCAACTCAGTAAAACGTAAAAGAGTACGCATTTAGTTTCACATAATTTATTTTATTAAACATTTTTACCTTATATTATATGTCATATTCATAAATTTATAATAACTTTATATGTTATATTCATAAATTTATAATAACTTTGATTTTAGCATAAAATTTTCATACAAATAACGTTAGAACAGCTTTAAAAAAAAAGAAGATAAATTGAACGTTCAGATTTTAAAATCTTGGAAAATCATAAATAGTTTGTTAATCGATTCAAACTTTATTTTCAAAGCATTAAAAAGAAAGCTCTGTTTTCCTTGCCTAGAAAGTAGATTCAAATATTTTCCGCTTGGTTGCTTAGCAACAGAGATACACAATGTTTTGCCGTTTTGTCATTCATTCAGTTTCCTTATAGTTGTTTTCAATTGTTTCACTATCTATGGCGAGGTAATTTGGCCTTATTTTTAACTTTTGCCATACATATAAATCTTTATTGCGACACAATTTTTTCGAAATGTTGTCTACATTAAAAATAAACTACTAAGCTAAAAAAAATCAATGTAAGGACTGTATTCTTTAAATAAACTTCCACACGTAAAGTAAAAAAGAATCCTGTACTAATTATGGTGTATACTATTATATATCATATTGATAAGAAGAGTAAATTATTTATAAAGCTAGTACTTATTATCAAATACACGACCATTAATTAGACCATATCTTTTTATTTTAAGGGTCAGAATTCCAAATATGTAAAAAAAATAAATAATAATACATGTTTATTCAAAGAAAGTACGTTTTCATATCTGATTTCTTAACTTAATTAATAGTAAGCACTTATTAATAAATGCTTACTATTAATAAGTAAGCACTTATTAATTAGCATATTTGAGGTCACCCCAAGGAATAATTAAGATTGACACTTAGGTTGTAAAAATCCGATCATTAGAACGAAAGTTATTCAGGGTGATTCGTTTTTTTGTTGTTATCTGTACATAAAACTATGGAAAAAGATACGGCATTTCAATACGACGAGGAACTAATGAAAGCCAGAAGTTGCCGGTTGATTACGTTGAAGCCGCAAATGGCTTTATTAAAGTTACACATTCTTTGAGAATAAAATATTATTACAAACATGACTCAAACTATGGTGAGGTTTGACAAACCATAAGCTCAGACAAATAATGTTGTTTGAAAGAGTACCAGAAGAATCTCCAACACCAGGTGCAGAAAGACAGGATATTCTACTGCACTAGGAGCAACTGCGCCTGGACATTAATTCCCGCATTTGTGATTGCAAAAGAACCGACTGGATGCATTCAACCTCGTGTGCTGAAAGACCTGAAAATACCAGACCACATCAAGGTCACCTGCTCTGTTGACAGATGAATGACAGCTAACCTCATGTAAAGTTTGCTAACGAAGATTTGGGGATTCAAATTAGGATGACGTTCAAAGGTTAAAATAATCTTGAAATGAGCCTCAATCCCTAGAACCTCGGGTCTCTCTGAAAAATTAAAAAGTTTGGATACCGATACAGTTTAAATTCCGGCAGGACGCGCAAACCTTTTGCAGCAAGCAGATGTTTCGTGGGTGGTGCCCTTTAAAAGTGCATTGAAAAGAGAATGGGTGCTCTTCATTAGGAATAAATAAAAGACTCTTGCCGGGAATTTAAAAAGGCTAACTCGGCAAGCTGGATGAAGACATGCTTTAGTGCGAATGCTTAGAGAATTTGCGTCACTAGGTTCTCGCATATGGGAACCCTGGGTGAACTGGTGTGGATTTAAGGCATTCAGGCTTTGGAAAGATTGATGAGAAGAGATTGTCAGCTACCACGCTAGGGATCTTGTGATTACATGCTGTATCCCCCCTTATCTTATCGGGATCTTAAATTAATTAACGAATAATTAACTTGCTAAGGAAATGTAATACTATGTGTTATTAATAAATTAGATGAAATGCTATAAGTTTAATAATACTTCAGCAGGTTAAATCATTGTTTCAGTATGCTTGCTTTTACAACAACATATCACAGTATCATTTTATATTAGCTGTATCTACTCTATATCACATCTAATTTCTAAGCTATTTACATATTAAACAAGTGTAATTAATTTTTTAATCACTATCAATTGATTCACAGTCATACAATTTACAACAAAACATACAATTCTGTAACATCTTTTCATGTAACATCATCTCTGGCAAATGCAACTTTACATGATTTTTTCCTACAATGGACTTCAGACATTTGCTTTTTCATTTATCATGCTTTAGCATCAACGTTCTTTGTTTATGCAATTTATTGACTAACTTTTGGATGTGACAATCGCTTTCGTTGTTTTTTCATTCATGCTGGTAAATGATAGTTTTCAGCATGATGAACAGATCATAACTTTGTCAAGAGTGTAACATTATACTTTTTATGGATGAATGAAACACTATCCAGACAGAATGGAATTTTTTTTTTGTTGAGATTATATCCAAATGAGCTAGCACACCTGATATGTAGAGATATTGCAAGGACTATACTCATAAATTAGTATTCTCATTCTGAAGAGGAAATTTTGGTTTGACAGGTGGCTGAGGCCTGGCAGGTTTGACTTTTTCAGTAACAGGATCACAGGTTTCTTTTTGAGTCACAGGATCACAGATTCCTTGTTGTGTTCCTTCAGGAGCTCCTGTAGATCGAGGAGGTCTTTCGGGTGGCTTGTCTTCTTCTTTTTGATTCATTAAAAAGTCAAAGCGGTTAGTCTTTGATACAGAATTCTGTTCATCTTTGGTCACATCTTCGAGGGAGCAGTCCGGCTGTTCCTCGGCATGAAAAATGCTGTCAGTACTGGAACAAAATTTTTGGGGCTTTGCTGGACGTTCCGGTGGAGGCACTGTTGGACGTTCTATGTGACTGCGGGCATCTCTGTTATACTGACCTTTGGAAGAGGGTCTGAGACACCTTCGATCCAGGGATAAAGATGAGTAATCTGGCTTTTCAGGGATAGCTGGTTTTTCAGTTGTGGTGGAATGGATGATTTTTGAAGAAGAGTCTTCACAATTTAAATCTATCAATGCTGCCGTTTTCTCCTTGGAAATGTCTACGTTTTCATCACTACTTTTTTGTAGTGGAGGAGGTGGAGCTGCAGGTTTTTTCACTGTCTTGGGAAGCAAACAAGGACTGGCTGTAGGATCCCTTTGGACGCTACAAAATAGAAAAAAAAATTAATGTAACATTGAATAAACCAGTTATGCAAAATAAAATTTTTTTTCACATTGTTTGATTTTAAGTACTATAAAAATAATTCCCTGATTTTTCCAGATTTATTTTATTTAACTTCCCAAATTTGTATAATTGATGGTATGAATTTTATTATCAAGTTTTCAATTATGCCTTATTCTTATACACAAAATATATTTAAAAGAAACAAAAAACAAAAAAAAAACACTCATACTTGATATTAGATTTTAAAATCTAACATAACATTGTTTGAAAAATTGATTATTACAATAATCCTTTTTTTTCTAAAAAAAATATTGGAGTTGGACTTTAGAGTATCAAAAACCTTTCTTTCTTTTTTTTAAATTTAAGTCATAATAAAGAACCAGACCCAACGGTAATGATTTCAAATTATTAGCCAAACTTCAAAAGTCTAAGCCAAAAGAAAATTTTAAAAATTTCTCACGATAAATTTTTTTTGCACATTGAAACCTTCAAATCATAATAGAAATTCAAATCAAGAGTCATTTTACAGTTGGGGAGGAGTAGCTGAACAATGAAGGAGAAAGGGTAAAAAAAAAAAGTAATTTGTAAATGAAAAATGTAAGTGTAATTTATCATCTTTGAGGATAACTTCTTAGATTAGAGCAGTAACATAAGGATAAAGGTGCAGCAACATTTAGTGCTTTTTTAGATTCCAACTATTTTCTAAATGTATAATTTCATTTCTAAATAAAACATTTCACTCAAGCCTTATTTTTTAATGAAAGAATTTTTACTCTCTTGCTTATTTTTTACTGTCGCAATGCAATAATTCAGAAAAAAACAATCGCCGAAGATGGTAAGTTATGAGCTTGAATACTTGGTTTGAATTATTTAATTCCGATTTAAGGGTTTTTATACTACTCAGAAATTTTTTTTTAAAATCAAAATTTGGGCGAGGGGTTTAAACACGTTTGTTGCCAGCTGAGTGCATGTGGTTATGCACAAAATTAATACTGACTTATTGATTATTTACTTTTTCACCCCTCGGTACGGGTATTTAGCTATTATAATAATAAAACAAGGTTTTACTATACTAATTTAAATAAAATATTGAAAATCTGCATTCAATTTATTATTTTTTCAATTGTTAGTTTCATTTGAAAATTAAATAGCTTAGAAATTAACCATCAACGGACCATTGCCATCATATAAGCTGCACGGCCCTCTTATATACTGGGTTTAATATTGTGTATTTTACAGAAAATTCATAGTTTTTTTTAATTACTCTTACTGCCATATTTGCCATTTATTTAATAAAAATTGCCAAAAAAATTAGATTAAAATTAGACTAAATTATACCTTGTGAGTAGTCAACTTGAAATACTTTTAGACCATTATGGCTTAATACTGTTATTTAAACTAGATTGCAATCATAAACTGTTTAAAAAATTGTTTTAATACGATATTTCTGTTTGGAAAATAATTTCTTCCATTTGGATCGAATAAAAGCTATATCTTCCAGGGCAGTTTTTTTTTCCCTCTATGGAAGAAACTTGCCATCCCAGGTACATACATTTTTATAGGTATTTAAAAGCAAATGCTTCTAAATTTTTATTTTATTTTGTTAAAGCAGTTGGCAGTTTTTTTGGAACATTTAAAGTATTTATTTTTGAAAAACATCAAACTGAAATACAGAAAAATATGATTTTAAACTCTGAATTGGAAGAAAAAAAATGAACTAAGATCAATTTGCAGCCAGTTCCAGATATTTTTGTTTTGAATTTTGCAGAAATATTTATACACACCTATTCGAGGAATTATTTCCATTCACTTCTTCAAAAGGCACTTCATCTTCATTTATATTTTTTGTCTTTTCACTTTCATCTGTAAATAAAAATACAAATTGCTTAGAAAAACATGGTTTACGTTTTGGTAGTTAACAGGGAAGTTACTTGCAACATTTAGTAAAGCAAGGTGCGTAGCCAAATCTTTCAACAAAAAATAAGCATCTTTTAAGTACTATTCAGGCACTCAAAAAATATTTTTAAGCACCATATACATTAACAAAATGCAGAATAATTTTCAAAAACTTTACATGATCATGATAAAATAACTAGTTTTTGACAAGGAACTCTTTTCATGATTATATTAACCACCATAAAAAAGATCGAGAGATTTTTCGGTTCGATTTCAGAGGGTGGAAAATGAAGCTTGAAACTGAGAATATCTTGCAAAACGCAGCAGAGTTGCACATGAGAGTGCAATAATCTCACCGGACCCAACTCACATGCAGACTCGCAAGTATTTCATCAAACCTGTAAAATGATTGAAGTTTTCTTATGCTATGGACAGACAGTATGCCGAAATAAACTGTGGTTGAATGAATTATGAAAGCGTTGAATAGAACAATGTGAAAAGCACCCTTTTGCATATTACGTAGCGAATATTGACATGGTAATGAAAAAAAATTTTCATTTTAGAAAAAGGAAAATTAAGCAAAATTAAACACACCCCATGAAAAAAAGCACCCTTAAGGGCTTTAAAAAAAAATGAAAATCAAAAATATGCACCTTTAAGCACTTATTAAAAATGTTATGCACCATGTAAAGTGTTTGCAATCTACAGAATTATTTCTTTGTTATGTTTTCGTAACGTAACATTTAAATTTGGCAATGTATAGGGTTTACTTACCTGGTGGAAAAAACCATGGAGCATATGAGATGAGAACATCAACTATTGATGTGTGAAGACTAGCAATAGACATGTTCATTCTGCCCAATAAAAAACAAGAAATGTCTTTTTTTAAAAAAAAGAAATGAGTATGCAGAAAAATACAATAAATGTCCATTATATCAACAATGTTTAATGACAGATGAAAATGTCATTATTAATGAGATAGCTATTATAAGTAAATACACATATTTAATAAATATATAGATGTTAAAATAACAATTCAAAGATACATATAGTGCGGCTTTGTGGAGAACTCCTTCAGACTAAAAGTCTGGGGTTGTCTGATACTATGGTAACAAGCTAGAGCACACTTCTAATGGGGGTGGAATGGAGGAAAGAAGGTGCCTATTGGTTCACTCACTACTACCTATGTTTAATCAAAGAATGAAACTAATTTACAAATCTAGGAAAAAACAAAATAAAGTAAGTATTATTTAAATCAATAAATCAAAATAGAAAAGTGCTTAAAGCAGCTAAATCCAAATTTTGTTTCGTTTGAATTTAAAAAGTCAGAAAAACAACTCCTACAGAAAACAAAAACCATAAAAATTTTTAAGATATGGGTGTTAGCAGGACAGTACTTCATCAGGGGACACACTGCCCGCTAACACCCAGGAGCCTTTCTGTTGTCAGTCGTGAAACCAAAAACTGGTAGTGCCCCAAGGCCCCACAATGGAAAGTCAAATACGAAAAATATAAATGTAAATGTAAAGATAAATAAATGACAAGGAGACACAAAGTAAGTCTTAATAATGACTTAAAAGTACACAAAATAAGACATAAGAAATGTCCACAAATAAGAAAAATAAATAAAGATAAAGTGACAAATAAATAAAGATGAAGTGATGAATAGCCACATCAAAATAACGACACAATAACATATAAATTGCCAAATCATTAAGACAAAACTATTAACCCCCATCACTTTCACATCAGTGTCCTTTCCTCGTAACCATAGTACCTGCCACGACACGAGACGAGTGTCTGGAGTTCTTGTGAAAGCCGCACTATAAATTACAGCTTTTCTGTTTGTTTGGAACAACTATTTGTTTTGAAATAAAACATATCTAGACAATTTTTGCCTACATGTACTAGACTGTACTGGGAGTTCTTGCAAGATAGATAAAAAAATTGAAGTGCAACAGCGTGGAAAAGGCCAATGGTTGCTCAAACATGCTTTATTAACATAATGGGTTAAAATTGAAAGTAGGAAATAATGTGAAAGGATATTCGTTTCGAATTTTTCTTTACTGCTATCAAAATAAATAAAAATATCTTCTATTTTACTTTTTTCTCCATATAATAATTATCCTTCAAAAAGTGAAAAACTGTATTTTTCTCTAAAAAAATGTCATATCAATAAAGGCAACAGAAGCTTATCATAAACATACAGTTTCTGTATTTTTCATATTAACATTTTGTCAGTGACTTGGATAGTTGCCATAATACCTAGCTGTTTACTGCCTAAAAAAAATATTTACTTAAGTATATTTGATTGAAAGGAATTATTAAACTAGTAGTTACTAACACTATGCAGAAAGCATAAATATACAAAACGAAATGAGCTTATATGTAATTGGGAACAATCTTTAAAAATTTCAGAATTTTTAAAATTTTATTTTATGACACAAATGAATCAAGAGAGGATCAACTTGCAATATAAAAATGCTTAAAAAATAAAATGTAAAAGAATTTTTTATAAATCTAGAACAATATCACAAACATATTAATTTCTTTCCATAACAAAATGTCTGTCATTAGAAACAAAACACTGGCTTTCTGATTGGTCGCAAAATAGTTGTTGACAACAGAGACTCTGAAATACAGCTAAGTAGCACATAAGAGAAATATGAATTATGATTTTCCTTATCAATACTCATTAATAAGACTTACCCAAGAGTTGGTCCGTCATCAGAGGACAATGGGGACCAAATTAGATTGGGAGCCATGATAATTGCAAGATTTTGAGAGGACATTTTGTTCACATCCACATTTTCATGAACTTTAGACAGAAATTGTATCACATACCTACGAATAATTAATTCAAATAAACTAAAAACCCTGCACACAAATCAAATAAGAGATTTTAATTTAACAATACTACTATTTATTAAAGTAACATTATTTTATTTTAGTAACTGAAAGAAATATACAATTATTGAAACTGAAGGCTACAACAAACTTTCTTATTTAAAGAAAAAATTACTGCACATATGTCGGAGTCACCTTTTCAAACTCCCAAAATTTTATTGAAATTAAGGAGAGGACTTATACACTGTTAATAAAGTTGGACATTTGTTGATCATGAAATATAAATGCATTATAAACAATGAGATAGATATAGATAACTCTTCATCAATTTAGCCCTTTCAAATACTATTTTTAATATGTTATATACAATCAAATTTAATTTTTAAAATTGGCATAGTGCGCCTCAACTGAATCATAAGTTCTCGGCAATTTTGAACAAATTTGGACAAGCAATCAATACCAAATAAACCCTACTCCAACTATTAGCAAATATTCTGATAAGCAGATATTTTTATAATACAACTGTGGCGAACAGAAATTGAATTGTTGCCCCACAGGATAATAGACTAAACAGAAATGGAGAAACACAGGAAGAATGAGGGTGGGGGTGGTATAGTAGATAGTAGAGGGGGTGAATAGTAGAAAGTACAGAAAAAGTTTTCCTTCATTAGAATTAATCAAGGGTATGAGAAATAAACTGGTTTAGCATGAGGGTGCAACATTTAGCTCTTCACCCAAGCGAAGATGGCATGTTTTATTTTCGGTTAATGTTGTAAGTTAGGGATGCACAACCTGCGGCCCACCGACTGTTGAAGTGCAGCAAACGTGAGTTTTTAACAGACATATTTTTCCTATTTAGAAAAATTAAACTTTTTGCTATATTATGGGCAATCCTTCCAATCTATGCATGCATAATTTACTTGTCTTCCTTTTTTAGAAATTGATTGAAGGCACCTTTTTTTCAAACATGGCAATTACTTTCATATTACAGCTTCAAGAAAATTCTTCAATTCAAGAAAAGTTTTTAAGAATTGGAGTTTAAAAAAGTATTTTAAATCCTCCAAAAAATAAGGGGGGAAATACTTTTTTTTAAAAAATTTATTTTATTATGAGCAAAGATAATACACAGGGAATTCAGAGTTTTTCATAGTATCCAAACATTTGTGATATCTAAGTTGGACTATATATAAAGTATATGCTATACCACATTTCATACTGTCTATTACCATCGTAAAGTGTGTAGAAGTTCTGCTTGCCTTGCAAATTAGCTCATTTTCAAGAAAATATAAATAAACTGGTATTTGTTTATTTATTTTTTGAATTTATATAGTGTAACCCAGATTTTACGTTTTTTGTCAGACTAATATTGAAAATGCATGATGCAGGTTAATGTAAAAATGGGGTTAAAAAAAAATATGAGAATATTTTTCAAAAATAGATGTGAGCAAGATAAACTACTAGAAAAAATGTGTAATCTTACACGTTTTTTACTTTTAGATAAAATTTCAACATTATCCTTCTCAATATTTACTATTGTTTGCAAATTTGCTTAATGGTTTACATTCGAATATATTTTAGAACTTTCATGCTCTCTAACTCTTGATCAGTTGCGGGTATAACCTCCAACCTTTTTTGCCCATCTTCATTGTTTTCATCACTATTATCCGGAGCAGACATTAAATCACATATTGCAGGGATTGAAGTGATCAGATGAGTGTGACAGTCGATATACACATCATCAAATTCAGAAAATCTTCAGACATGCAATTTTATTCCGTAGGACCAATATTCCCGCTGCGTACTGATGAGAAGTTAACACCGAGAAATTTTATTTAAGCCCTCATACTTCCATTAACCACCTATTCTGTGCTTTGCGCATGCCACCACCCATCTGGTTTTTACTCAATCGGGAAATCCCCTGTCACAGACAAAACAAAATAGACATCCCAGCAAAATAGAATGTTACAAAAGCTTCAAACAGCTAAACCTATGAAACATCTAAATAAACGTGTCCACTTAAAAAAAAAAAAAAAAAAAGTAGAAAGGAAGAAAAAAAAAGAAGAAAGGTCAGAAAAAGTTTGTGCAAACTTTATAGGGAAAAAATGATTTTTATCTGTTTGTAAAACATTTAAAGCAGGATTTTCTTAAAAACTATTAAGCAAAATTCATGATATTTATCATTGTTTTTCACGGGCCAACAGAAAATGATGTAGACAGAGGGAAAACATACAACACGGATAACAGAAAACCAGGGTTTCACTGTATGTATAAATATATATAGACCAAAATATTTTCAAATTATAGTCATTAATAACAGAACTTGGGCTCAGATAGTTTCTTTTTTAAAATTAAAGCATGGTTATGGGATGGTTAAACAAGGTTAAAAGATGGAAAAAACTAAGAAAAAAACGTTATTGCACCTTAAATTTCTATAATTTGCTTCTGGTAATCTGTGCAGGACTTGCCAGAGAGCTTTTAACTTAGAGTCCAAATCTTGAATTCTGGAAGATAAAGAGATTTAGAGTGATTAAAGAATATTTTTAACACAAAAATATGTTTAGAGTAACATAACAAAATGCAATATCAAATTCTCTTATACAACAGAACCTAGATAATTCAAATCTCTTTCATAAAAATACATATGCAAACCAATTTACACAAATTAATTAATATTATTTATTAATTACTCAAATGTAATATTTTTTACGCACTTTTAGGTACAATTAATAAATAGTGAGTCAGAAACTAATATATACTATTTTCCTATTTAATTAAACTCAAACAAATTGATTAAAACTGTTTAGACATTAGTCCCATAACCCAGATTGGAAGCAGGTTTTGAACAAATCGCAGTGCGAGTTTTTTCCTTAAAACGACGGAGGTTCGGGCTCCCTAATACTTGGGAAGCCAGGGACCATTATTTTGAGAAAATACATCTGTTTTGTTTCCATATCTTTTACTTTTTTTTTCACTCTCGGTTTTTTTCTTCCACCCAAAAGCGGTTATAAATAGAGGAGGTCGCTACACAGAGGTGTTCTTTCTTGGAGGTTTCACTGTATTTGAATATTTCTAGTAAAATAACAGATTTTTTTTTTACATGTATTGTAATGAAGGCATAAATACAGTATTGGATTTAGAGATGGTCCTATGAGCTCCAACCTTAGAGTCTAGATAATAATTTGGAATTTGAAGGTTAAAATTAAAATATATGAAGTTATTATTTAAAACAAAATGGCAAAATGTGTAGAATTTGAAAATGCATGAGTATCACAGGCTTCAAAGAAAGTAACAAAACAATAAGATGCAACTTAATAAATTAACGAAGTAACGTAGGAGCAGGACAAAACCAGGAAATCTTAAAAGAGAAATCTAGAAAAATCCACCACTTTGTCACAAAAAAAAAAGAGAAAGAAAAACTAAAGAACCCTCTTTAAAATGAAATTTGTTTTACGAAATAAGCTAAATCAACTTCTTTTTATAAATCCATCTACATCTTAAAAACAGTTTAACAAAATATAACTAGAAAAAATGAAACTATCAAGGGGTTAGAGAAGAGCGCTTATTTACTTTATTGCAGCCAACCATTCATCATAAAGAGATGCAGACATCAAAGGTTCAGGAAGTTCTCTTAAGTAAGATTTCAAAGCACCTGCAAGTAAGTACAAACAAGATAAGTACTTGGAAGTAAGATTTTTTTATCAGGGATCAAATAATCAAAGGTTTTCCACAAGTTTTATTTTCTAGTATTTGTTGCTATTGTCAGTGCCATTTTAAATAAATCTTGTTTCATAATAGAAAATGAAATTTGTGGAAAATCCAGTATCGTTTTGACCTTTTTTTTTTTAAAAAAAAAAAAAAAAAAANAAAAAAAAAAAAAAAAAAAAAAAAAAAAAAAAAAAAAAAAAAAAAAAAAAACAACATAAAAACTACTTAGAAAATAGCTTGAAATGTTTTCAATTTTTAAGATATACAAAAAAAAATTTTTTTTTAATTAATTGCCACTATGAAAATAAGAAGAAATATGAAATAATAAGTTGTCACTATAAATATACGATAAAATTTTTTCTGCGTATGCGCTGTTTAAAAGAACCACTTTAAACACTCAATCGTGCACAATTTTTAAGGAATTTTTTTTCAAAATTCAAATCAATAATTTTGTAATTAATTTTAAATTTAGTGTTAATTGTATTGAATGTTTTTATAGCAAAAAATACATTAGACAAAAAAAAAAAGGTCTTTACAAAAATGTCCATATCTTCATAAATATTTGAGCGAGTTTTATGAAATTTTATGCTGTTATTACAAATAACATCCAAATAATCAATACAAGTTATAAGCTTACTGCTTGAGTTTTGACATTAGGTGTACCAAAATACTTGTTTTTTTCTTTCATAATTTATTGTCAGTTCCTCAAACCTCTGAAAGCTTTAAACTTTATTGCTAAATATGAAAAATCACACAAACTAAACACTTCCACATGGTTCCCACTAAATTTTTCAAAGAAAATTTTGAGAACTTTTCAATGACTTTCAAGGACCTAAAATCAAATTGTTCAAGGACCTATTCGGTATTACAATTATATGGTAAATTACATCCCAACTAGATTTTACAATTACGTTGAAGCAAAAATTGTATATTTTTATAGCACAATGCTTATCTGGAAACAACAAAAAATTATTTATTAAATTTATCATCTAATAATACAAATGGTTGATAGTTACATTGTTGTTTTCAAATCACCAGTGTTTTCACTACAGCGCGAGAACGCGAGAATCTCGCATATTTTTTTCTTTTCTCGCATTAAAAAATTATTACCGCGAGAAATTCGCGCATTCTATAAATCAATTTCAAAATTCGCAATTTCTCGCATTTTGGAAAAAGCTTCGAATTACGCCATTTAGAATAAAATCCGTTTCACTTTTCTTCCTGGATCTTTCATTATNAGGATCTTAGAAAATATGGAAGACCAAGACGCTGAAGATCTTAATGCGAACGCTCTAGCCAAAAAAACAAATGTTTTGGATGCCATACATTTGTTAACAATGTCATGGAATAATGTCTCGGAAAAAACAATTCGAAATTGTTTTAGTCATGGAGGATTTTGTCAACCAGAGGACAACAATGCTGCTGTAATGAAAGAAATGGAAGACGTTTTCAATCCCCCGCCCGATATGAATGCTGAGGATTTTGAAGCATGGATGGAGATCGACGAGAAGGTTGAGACTTCTACTTCGTTAACTGATGAGGACATTTGCGAAGCCGTATGTGTCAAAGATCCAGCTTCGTCACAAGATTCTGATGCCGATGATGAACCCGAAAGTGCTATCGAGGACAAAATTCCGACGCCTGCTCAGATGAGGGAGGCACTTCGAGTCTTACGGCTAGGTGTGCAAAACAAAGCCGACGCGGAACACTTTCATAAGCATTATGATTATGAGCGATTCGCAAATGACTTGCTTCGAAAGAATGCTAAACAATCGACAATTGATGGTTTCTTTTTCAGTTAATAATTAACCTTTTGTATTTTGTATCGTTTTCTGCAGTTCATCATTAAATATGCAACTATACTAACTAATTCTTTTTCTTTAGTGAAAATTAATTTCTATTAAATATTTGAGAGTTTCACAGCAACAACTCCAAATTTAAAATAATTTTTATTTTAATACGTATGTAAAAAAATCATTTTTTACCTTAAATTTTTTTTGTTTATTGCAATCAATCGGTTATTGTTATCAAATCATGTTCGACCCGATGTGATCACATTAAGCGGCGTCCTCTGTATATATAAATAAATAAAAAAACTCCAATTGTCATAGGATATTAGCCTACATTTAAAAACTAACATCAGAGAAACTTTTCTTGAAAAATTTAATGAAGTGAATTAGAATTTATGAAATTGAGGGAATGACTAATGTATATTACATTAAACAAGCATAGTAACTAATTGCTAAACTTTGCATAATTGCTTGGTTATTAAAATATAAATACTTCTTTTTAATATGTTGGATCAAATTTTAGGTCACAGGAAATATATATAATTAGATAAAATATCAAAATATTTCAATTTAACATGTTTCAATTTTAATAACACATTATCGATTTTGTTACTTCAGAAAATGAGTAATGTATTTTGAACATAATAAAATCTATTGGAGAACAATATTTTACAGAAAACTAAGACTAACCAAGCTTTATTTTCTTTAAAATATATCCATAAAATGTGATTTTTAAAATTTTGCAAATATGCATAATTTTTACTAAGCATAATTTTTAAATCGCATTTATACGAATCTATTTATACTATATGTAAATCAAAATTATAAGAAAGGTGAAGCAAGTCTCAAAGATTACGTAAATCATGTATCACATTGTGTGATTTGTAAATTGAATTGTGGTTTATGTTTTTTAAATCTGAACAATATGAATAGCAAATGATACAAAATGCACGATCTAACAAGACGTAAATCAGAATGTGTGATACATAAATCACTTTAATATGAATTCTGTTGCATGATTAGCTAATAGTTTTCATGTTAATTGTGATCATTATGATGCAAACTGCAATTTGCAAGGTGCTTAATATAGAACAGCTATGAGTGATTCTTAAATCATTTTGACGAGAGCGGCAAGTGGTAATTCTTAAATCTCTCTTTTGTGAATCGCAATGCGTGATTTGTAAACTACTAGGATGAAAATTGTGAGGCATGATTCTGAAATAACTTTAATTGAAATCATGATGTGTGAATCCTGATGAGTAATTTGCAAATCACTTGAAAGTAATATTCAATACGTGATTCATTAATCACTTTAATTTAAATCGCAATTCATAGAACATTTAATATGAATTCCGATCCGTAAATCAAGAATAAGTTTAATGTGAATCACGATTTGATTCATAATCAATGCAACCTGTAGAACTAAATTTTATTTATTAGCAGTAAAAACTAAATGTAAAATTTTCATTATAAATGATAAAAAATTAAATATCCTTCGTACAAAAATTAAAAGAACAAATAGGATAACAATATTAACTTGTCGTAATAACAAAGTGAACACATTGAACATATTTCTAACTCGATTAAACACTATATATCATTCGAAAACTATGACTACAAAACCGAAAATTTGCGAAAAATTTCAGCTTTCCAAACATCAGAGAGATGAACAATAATCTGGTGTGAAAAATCTAGGAGAGAAAAGTTTTGCATCTTCTTTAATCCCTTTTCACTTCGAGCATTAAAAATTGCATTTATCTGAATTTCTATAATTTTCCTTTGAATTAATTAATTTTTTTATTACTTTTTTGCATGGCAGAATTCAAGGACTTTTCAGGGCCCTGATTTTTTTCAACAAAATTCAATGTTGAATTTTGTTGAACTTTCAAGTACCGTGGGAACCCTGTTCTAAATTTACAAAATAATCCTTTAAGTATTTCTTGAGAAATTGATAAAAAATGACAAAAACTTAAATTGTCTCTTCCATTATTGTAGGGTAGTGTTGGATATTATAGCATATAAAAATAAAATCAAAAGTTATTTGTAGTTTACATTCTTCAATAAACACAAATTAAAATTTTTACACACTATGGGACAAGTTGAGTTGTCTATTCTGTCAATTATTTAATGTATTTTTAAAATCATCAATTAGTTAAAATAGAAATTCATAATTCGTTTAAAAACAAAAATTTAAAAATTATGACCCCATTGCATTGCTTTTACCAAATATTCAAATTTTAGCCAACAATTAATATCACCTTACTGTTCTCAGGTTTCTTTAATACTTTAATTATCTAAATGCTGTGGTAATTTTGTATCAAATTTATTAAACCAAGGAGCATGAAATTTGCTTAATAACATTGACAAAAAAGTAGGAAACTATAGTAATGTTGCATAACAGTTTACTCCATTGTCAGACAAAGAATAAAAATAGTTTTAATGGATCTCCTCACAGGACTACTTACGGGACATGTTTTATATTAAATATGAACAAAAGTCTTACCAGAAACAGCATGAGGATCCCGTATAAATTCGGTGAAGTCAATATCCTGGCCAGCATCAAAAGAACTCTGAAATATTTGAAAACTTATTTGTTTTTTTGTATCATTAGTCAAATATTGTACTATTCTTTAAAACAAAAAGGCAAAAACAAAATTTTTTTTTTCATACTTCATTCAAACTTTTCAAATGTATTTCATTAAAATAAAGAGTACTTTTTGAAAAGGTATGTAAAAAGAGTTCTTTTTTCTACTGTTAATAATAAGCAATTTTTTATAATTCATATTTTTAGCCTCTTTCTTCAAAGTTGATATATCAAACATTGACTACACATGCAAACAAAGCAAATGACGCAAAACAAATGAACAAATAAAAATAAAGAGAGGTCCACTCAGTGCTGATGAAACACGCCAGAGCGATTCTGAAAATGGCGCCTTCAGCTCAATTTTGGAAAAAGATTTAGAATAGAAAAATAATGATAAGTCATTTCCCCATGAATTGTTACATTGGTGTAGTCTAAATGCTGCATATTTTTTTTCTTCTTTTTATTTATCAGAAAATTATAAATCTATATCAACCCTAAATGTTGACTTAAGAAACATATGAAGAAAATAAATAACAATTAACAATTACAGGGGAAAAAGAAGGCTGCTAGTTTCATTAAAGAGAATGTCATCTCAAAAATTATAGAATAATTTAAGTGATATTTTTTATAAGTGATACAGATTCTATTATAAGTGATATTTTTAATAAGCAAAATCTTTTATGACATGTAAATGTATAAGTATAAGCATTTAAAAAAAATTGTGCTTTAGCAGATGCAAATGGTGTTATAGACTCTTCAAAACCAATGGTTTTCTGGTTTCCTTTTTGATAGAAATTGTCAAATTTAGCTTCTCTTGAGTCATTGTAGACATTAAATAGATTTTAATAACTTTTAATTTACTAAAAAAAGAATATTCATCCCTTGCTACAGATGTGGGATTGTTAACAAAATTCTTAAACTTACCAACAAGTTTGAAAAAATATCTTTCAAGTTGTCCTTATGGATGAACATTATGTGATCAATTGGAGATATATTATCTAATTATTTCTTGTATAATTGCACATGTAAAAAATAATATTTTCCATTAATTATATGCTATTTTGTTAAAAATTATTATAAAAAATGAGAGACTGTTGTCATTAATAGCCATAATAACACAGGTTTACAAAACTATGTATACAAATATAAATAAATAATTAAAAGAAGTCTTACTTTAGTTTCCCAGAAAATCTTTTAATAACTATTTTAAATATATATTTATTAAAAAAATTTGTCAAATATTTTTAAATTTTTATTAATATAATATTATTATAATATATTATTAAAAATATTTGACAAATGTTTTGAAGAATGAATCATTTTTTGTTGTTTCTAACATAAAATTATTTAATCTTTACTAATTATCTTGCCTCCCTTCTGTCATGTTTTGAAATAGCTCCCGCAAAAAAAACCACAGAAATTTAGATGAAAAACTTCAAATTACATTTTGAGACAAAATAGAAGTATTTCATTCATAGAATATTAAGGTTTATATCAATAAATTCATATTATATTAAGAGAGCATTTGACACATGGGTTCACACGTACATTGTGAGAAAAAAATAGCACTTTGAACAAACTGATTGAATTTTAACATATCAGAACTTACTCTTAATAATTTGAGGAGGTATATGCTAATTAGTTAGTGCAGACCATTACAAAATCAGACAAAATGCAAAACAAACATTAATGAACTACATAGCTCAATATTAAAAAAATCTAGGATTTTAGATTAATAAAATATTATGAAAAGATATTTTTTCTTCAGAGAGAATTTTAAAAACCTCTTGGGTCCTCCCATAGTATGTTAAAAAAATATTAAATACATATGTAAAAAAGTAATAAGAAAAATATTAAGAACTTCTTAATATGACAAAAAAAAAAAGGGGAGAAAGAAGAAATTGCAAATTTATGATACATATACGATTATAAAAACATATAAACCTGAATGTTTGTTTATCATCTTTAAATATTTAAATCTTGTTTACTTAGTAATGTTTATTTAAAGGTAAAGTAACGTCCCATTATCAATAGAATGGTGTAGGAAAATTAAATCACCTTGATTTTCTTCAATTTTATTGAACTTCCAGCTATACGGAGCAACCCCTAAAAGAAATAAAAATGAATAAGTAAGCCAATTAAAAAAAAAACAGGAATGATAGGAAAATTATATGTAACACAAACCTCCTCTAAAAGTCCATACTCTACAAGGAAAGATATGCAACTTTCTAAAACATGAGCGATGTCTCTATTCGTCACTCTCAAGTGTTCTTCCAGTGGGCAACCATAAACAGGCTTCTGTGGAAAATCAACTAGAAAAACATTTTTTTTTTATTCATTAAAAATTATATTATTTATAACTAGAAAATCAATCTAAAATTCTACCTTTATTTTAAAATTAAATATATGTATAGAAAGTGTGTTGTAAAAATACATTATTCTTATTTGCATTGAAATCTATAAATATCTATATTTGCATTGAAAATACTGTTATTGTTCAAGGTGTAATTGTTCAATGTGTTAACACTGAACTATAAATTGAATATAATGAAATTATATTCAATTATATAACATACATTGAATATAACATATATTTCACAATGAAAATTTTTTTTCAATCTTTTTTTTATTATTTGACAATGAAGGTCTTTTTTTTAGTGTAGCTAATAAAAATAAACTAAAGGGAATTACGTATGACACTCTGAAGGGAAGGGAGAGACATTTCTAGAACAGCAAGGGCATTTCTGTGGTAGGTAGCCTGCAGCTGATGAAATTGAATCAATAATTGTGCCAATTGTGGCTCTCTACTAATCAGACTAAACATTTCAACTGCCAATGCATCCTGAAAATAACAAAAAAGAATCTTTAACAACAAAAAAGTGACAAACAAACAAAAAATTTCAAAATTTAAATGTTAGAATATCATAGCTGCCAACATTTAAAAAAATTATAAATATAAAGAGTACAATTTAAGACATAAAATGGAAGTTTGGAGTGTCTGAGGACTTTTCCTTCATATTGCAAAATAAACCCTGAAAATAGCAAATTACAGCATACTGAATTTAAAACTTTGGTAACATTCACTTCCAACTGCACTAAAATTTTATAAACACAAATATTTACTATATATACACTTAAAAGAATTTTTTAATGAAATTTGTTTTAAGAAAACAAAAAGTTTTCACCCAAATATTTCGAAATTTTTTAAAAAAAATCCTAATGATTTCAACATTTTTTAAGAGTCTGGGAGATTACCTCAAAATTCAGGGGTCACCCGATTTTTTCAAAAAAGTTAGCAGCTACAAAATACATTTATTGAATAGATTTGTTATTGACAAGACATTTTTAATTTCATTTAAAGATAATACTGGCTGTTCCATACTAAACTACTAATAAATAAATCTGTATGTGCATAGATAAGAATAAAATTAACTCATGAAAAAAAAGAAAAAAAGTGGAGCATTCACACGCCAGCACCCCCCCCCCTAACTTGAAAAACTTAAATTCTTAAACGCAACTAATATTCGATTTTCTACTTGACCTTAACTTTAAAAGCAAGTTTTCCCTTGAATTTGCATTTTAGAAATATTAATTAAATAAACTTAGTACTTTGTATTTTAGAATTATTTAGGAAATTCATGTTTTTATTTCAGTGAAATGTGTAAATGAGAAATTGACTTGCAGCATGTAATGAGATAAATGTTTAGGTTTATAAGTTTTAAAGGATTTGAAATCCTACTTTTAGCAAAATATTCAAGTATCTACTAATTTATCAATCAGATATAAAAGAAGCCATTGGTGTTTGGAAGACTTATCATAACAGCTAACAAACAGTCATACTGAACAACAATCAAAGATACGACCTATGAATTACATGTAAAAGTATACTCCAAAAATTGTCCCGCAGTGGACTGATCGTTAAGACACGGTTCCCAGCAGATCACCGAAGTCAAGCATCACTGGCTACCGTCAGTGTGCGGGTGGGTGACCACTTGGATCAGTCTGCGTAGGGACCGAGGGTGTGCGGTATTGGTCCTCGTTAAATTGTGCTACCGTAAAGTGCTCGACTTCGCGCGCAGGTCGTCGGGCTACCGAAGCGGGGGTGCCATCCCTTCCGCAGAGGATCAAAATTGTGATGGCATGTCTTCGGATCATCCTCCGGGATGTTTCCCAGACCGTCGCCAATAGCCCATTGTGCAGCTCTAGTGCAACGTAAAGTAACAACAACAACAATAACAACTTCAAAAATTAATTACATTCTAATTAACAAAATACAAAAGATGTGATGAGTGCCCATGAGCTAAGAACAGAGAAACAGGGAGGAAACGCCCCAAATGTAAAAAATAAAAAATTATTCTGTTCCAAGACTAGAAGAATACATTTTGTACAAAAATTGCACAGAGACAACAAACATAATGCATTAAAGTTTTCATATTAATTTTAATTATCTATTAATTTATTTTTGAAATTATTTTTTTTTCCTTATCACTTCATATCTTGATCACTCATCATAAACAAAAAACCATTTTAAAAATAAATAACACCATTTGTATCCCGTTTTAGGTTTCAGGATATGCTTTCTCATGCTTCTTAGGATGAGCTTTCTCATGAATTAAAGATGTCCAAAAACTAATATTCAAAAAAAATGTAGCTTCCATTGTTGAAAACTAATGTAAAAAAAAAAATGAAACATCACTAATTTGATATCATTAAGTCAAGGGGCAAGATCATAAATATAATTTTTTTTAAATATGTTTTGCACTAATAGAAAAACCAATCAAAGTTTTTTTCCTTCCTATTTAGTAATAAATGAAATGTATTAGAAATGAAAAACAAAGCTTTCAATGAAATTTGATAAAAAAGAGCCAAAAATTTACTACTCGATGTTAATGAATTTGCCTTTGACATCATTTTTTAACTAACAATCGGACAGGTTAAGGAAAAAATTTTGGCAGTCAAACCGCTGAGGTTCTTTTTTATAAGATTATCAAAAGAATGAAAACAAGACTCAGTCTGAACCATGAGCAATTAGTAGACTGTGCTTAAATTTGAACTATTTGTTTGCAATATTAAGAATTATTGAAGTTTATCATTTTTTAATCAAATAAAAGAATGATATAAGCATTCCAAAACGTCTTAGTTTTGAAGTGTATCAAAACTATGCAATCAAAAATTTGTGATAAGGAATTTAAAGACTACTTTCACACCTAATTAAACTAAAATAATATTGTTAAAAGGATTGACTGCCATTTGAAAATAGAGTATTACTCAATATTTGTAGATAATAAAATCTTATGGTGAATACTAGGAATTTTTGTTTTAAACAAAAATTATGCAAAATTAAAGGCATTGAAATAAAAAAAATTTAAAAAATTCACACTCAGCACGAAGTGTGAAGAGTAGCACCATAACTTTTCTTCTAAAAAAAAAAAGAAAGAAAGATGGTCTCTGTAAATACTTATTTGCTTAATGGAATTGTCAAAAATAACCATACGTAATTTTACCAATGGATGACAATGATACTTAACCCTTTCGCGACGCAAAGCGCGCTTACCGCTGAGGCCGGCAGTCTCTCTAGCGTGTGTCTCCCCAGGGCCGGAGGGTTTTTTGATGTTAAGCCTAATTCCATGAAATTGCCGAAATATCAGCGCGTTGTTTAATATTGTTCTGTAGAGTATTTAAGTGACATATGCTTTATATATATTTCTATGGATACTTTATTTACTTAAGTTATTTCTTGTTTAAATGTAATATAAATATTAATAAGTTTAAATATTTTGCATAATTGCCTCTATTTCCAGCTCAGTTAAAAATTTTCGATGCTTCGACATTCTAACGGTAAAAAGAAAAAAAATTCAAGCCTACAAGATCTAATTATCCACTAAAAACTAATCTGAAAATCGAAAGTAGCGAGAGATAAAAAAAACTCCCTTACTTACTGTAAATAAATATCACGTGCTAATTTAAAGAGCCCTCATAAAACATTCCCCCCCTCCTCTCCTTCCCCTAAAAACCATGTGAATGTACTTTCATCTTGAGTAGAAGGTCAAATCTACATGTATCTGAAACCACATGGACATACAATGCCATCTTTTGGAAGAAATTTCATTTTTTAAAACGTTCCGGAACGCTGGCACAAATAAGTGACGGTCGGGGGTGAACGAGAAAACTCTCTGACACGCAGGTGTGTCGGCCGGGAAGTGAGCGTGTTTCTTGCTGTCACATATATGTGACAGTCGGCTCGAAAGGGTTAACTAATGTTGATAATATGTATAAATTGAAATAAAAAGAAACTTATCTACTAAAAAGCAAAGTTAATAGAGAAAAGATACTTATATGTTGCAGGGAACCGTAAAAATTGGCATATTATTCTTGATACAAATGTTAATTAAAAATGGTAATATGCATTAATTGAAATAAAAATGAGCCATGTGCTATAAAGATAAGCTAAGGGAGAAAAATTAATGGGGAATTGGTTTAAGGGAGTTGTAGAAAATCCCCATAAGCAGATGACACTTAATTTCATTTTGGTAATATGTACTACTGGTATTATGATAATTACTGCAGTTTCAGTAAGAATTCTACAACAGGTTTTCTGTAGTTTTAGAAACTATTTTTTCAAATGTTCGCAAAGAAAATGTATTAATATTTTAATGAGTTGGAATTAAAAGAACTTTTTTTCACCACTACATATAAATATATTAAACAATAAATTAAAGGTCAGAAAAAGAAATGGCCAAGCTTCAAAGTCATTGTCAAGGTCTTATAAGAATTCTGTTTGTTTTTAAAATTTCGGCTTTAATTTACTGCTACTGATAAATGTTTTGTACAAAACATGAATGTTGAAGGATTATGCAACAGGTAGTTGCTGTGGACATAAGTGCCTTATGGACCCTAGAAAAAGATATGCACCGGAGAAAATTACCTGATAATGGTACCTGATAATGACAATTTTGACCATCATGAGTTGACTGCAAGCAATAGCATCGTGTCTAGTAATACTGAATACAGTAAATCTCTATTCTGATGGGATGAACATCAAAAACGCGTTTTGCTGAATTTAATAATCTAATTTAATGATAATAATAATGAATTTAATAATCTAAAGTAACTGGAAAAGACAGCAAATATTAATAAATAAAAAAAATTGAAATTACTTTAGCTTTATTGCGTTGGTGTATGAGTTTCAGTTTTATGCATGATTTTGAAGTGTTGTTCGTTATGTTTCTTGCTGATTATTTTCATCATTTTATTCACTCTGTACCAAGAATGGGTATTCAGCTATTACTTTAATGTGTTACAATTATCTGGAATGTATTTAGAAAATTGGTACTTTTATTTACCTCACATTAGGGCCATCGCCGGATTAACCTATAGGCACGTGCCTAGGGCCAACGAAATTCAGGGGCCTACGAAAAACTTGGGAGAAAAAAATTTGTTGACAAAAATAATTTAGCTTTAAAAACAGCAAGTGCATTTTGCACAAAATTATGAAGATACAAAGAAAAATATTATATTTTTTGGTAATAAATTATTTTGCAGAATCTTATGATCTAATATATTACTTTTTTTTTGCGATTTTTGGATTTAACAAAATCTTGTATTATGCTGTCGAATTCCAAACTACGCAATTGCACTGTTTTCTTTGCTGGTTTGTTGTTGTATTGTTGACGTGAAGTGTTTACATAGTTATCGATCGAATTAATCAGAATGGTATTATCGATATCAACTGCAATATCGGCAGTATGTCGGTATTGCAGATAAAGTTCAATAAACAAATTCGTAAATTAAAATCCATAGTAATAAAAATGTTAAAAAAAAACATGCAAGAAAATTTTAGCATATATTTTGAAAAGAGGGGAAGGAAGGGAGGGCCCAAAAACGGCTAAGCCTAGGGCCTACGAAAGGTATAATCCGGCTCTGACTAGGGCTATACAATTGTCTACTGATGACAGTTTGGGAATCACCCCTGAGGAAGATCCGATTAGAAAATTGATAAAGCAGTATAAATAAGATTATGAGTAACATTATTAGTTTACCCTGCACTGTTCAACTTTCTGTGATGCATCTTCTAGTTCTTCTTTTAGGGTGTCTACCTTTCCAACAACATTAAGATTGGTATTGCATGATGCCTGCAAACTATGTCTCTCTGCAGTTTGAAACCTAAAAAGCAACAAAAGTTTACTTACATATTTAAAAAAAAAAGAAGAAAAAACAATAACGTTTTTATTACGCAAAAGACAATTGAGTACAATAAGCAGAAAAAAGATACAGAACACTTTAATTAAATTTTTATATATTATGGTTCAAGGTTCTAACCTAAAACATGAAAGAAGTCAAAATATACTATCCCTAAATAATCATAAATTTTTTGGATGGATTTGGATTCTTGAGCATTAAAATATGGGAATCTGAAAAATATGGCAATATAATCTAAAAAATACAATCAAAACCCATCAAAAAAAAATATAGGTTTATTAGAAAAAGGCATATTTCTGAATCTCATTTTGTAACTTAGAATTTTGTCTGTGCAAATTAATTATCAAGTTTAAGATCAGACCCTCAAACCACTCTAAGATTGTATCTTACTTTAAATCTGCAGGAAAAAGATAAGTTCATTTGAAGAAGGTACATTTCGTTGTCTTATTTCGCAACATGAAATATTGTCAGTACAAATTAATTAATATGTCTAAGATTAAACCCTCAAACCACTGAGATTAAGTCTCACATCAAATCCATCATAAAAATCATTTTATCAATTAAGAAAAGAAAAAATAGCACCAAATGTTGCATAAAATTTTGCTAAAAAATAAAAAATGTATATTTTGAGGTGCTAATTTTGTCTTCAATGTAAAAAAAAGAAGAAAAAAAAATTTAAACAATTATTTGTTAGTTAAGAGTTGGAAGTGATAAATATTAATAAAATTATAAAGTCTATATTTGACAAAATAGAATGAAAACAATACTTCTATTAATGAAAATGTCTAATAATATTTGCTTTCAAAAATAATTTGGCCATTCTTGTACAAATATATTATTTAAGAAAACAAAAATATGTGCAAAATGCAACTTTCTTTTGACAAAATTTCCGCTGCTAATTTTCCCTATTTTTGATAATACTTTGAGTTACAGAATTTCAATGTATAACCTTTAGGCATAAGAGTGGGAAAAGTCTCAAAATACCTCTCAACTCAAATCATGAAAAAAAAATAAATAAATAAAAAAGGTTGTGAAACCATTTTGCGCAAAAAAAACATTTAAATTATTTACATACTTATTTAAATTTTTTTCCCCTATGTGTGTACATTGTTAAGCTTTATAAATAAATCATGATTTAAGAGAATAAAATAAAGTAAAACATCCGAATGCAGAAATATTAAGAAAAAAAAAATAGGCATTTAACACAGCATTTTCCATTAGTATTTTTTCTTAAAAAGTTTGAAAGCTGGAAACTACAAAAAATCAGAAGAAACTCAAGCCTGAAATTTATATTTGTTTAAAGTATATTTGTTACGAGTTACACAGTTTACTTAGAATCATAAAAAAAAAAAATAAAAAAAAAAAATAAATAAATAAATAAATAAAAATGGTTCTTTTTACAATTATAATGGTTTACAAAAATAATATACTGAATAATTCATAATGGTTTTCAAAATAATCATACTGAATGTAGGATTCATTTTAGTCCTTAAAATGGCAGGACACTAACGCCCGTATTCACCATTGACCCTAACCCTCAGTCACAGTTCAAAACAGGTTTTATGAGAGCAACTCTAGGTTAGAGTCGAAAATTTCATTTTACCGTGTACGTAACTGCGAGTTACTCTAACCCAGAGCTAAGCAACTTTAACCTGAAGATATTCCCGGTTAGAGTAACCGTGCATGCACAGTAAACGAGTGTCTGCTCATTTACTTCGTTGGTATTTTTTATATTTATGCTTTTTTACGTTTGATAATTTTAATTGTTTTGAATTTCAATTCTTTTTTTGTATTTTTAACCTGCAGATTTCCGCGGTTTGAGCAAACAGGGATACGAAGAAGATTTTTTATTTATTTACGTTTTCAAAAATAACACTTTTGATATTCAGTTGCTTATGTTCAATGAGGTCAATTTTTTTACTTGATGTAATATAATTAATAATGTGATAATATAATTAATAATGTGATGTAATATAATTGAATATAATTAATTTATATCTTTGCCTTGCCTTCAAAAAAATATAGCATACCACAATATTAATAAAATGAAAATATATTTATAAAATCAAAATTAAATAATTCTTTATTTTAAAGTTCGGTTGCTTTTTTTATGTTTAATAAGATCATTTTTTTTACTAGATGTAAATATAATTAATTTATTTCAAATAAGTGCTTATTAATAAAGTCAAAATTAAATAAGACCTTTTATGTTCGGTTACTTATTTTATGTTCAATGAGATCAATTATTTTACTACATGGTTGTTTTTTTTATGCTCAATGAAATCAATTTTTTTACTAGATGTAACTACAATTAATTTATATCAAATAAATGCTTATTAATAAAATGAAAATTAAATTTTCTTGAGTTAATATCTTCTATAGAAGATACTATATATATTTCTCAAATTATTATTAGCAGTGGTTACAGCACTTAAATAATTTTTCACTGGAAAAAAAAATTGTGGATAATAAAGATTGTGGCTACAATAATTTAAATGAATAGTGAAAGTAATAAGATTGCAAATAATTTAACTTTTATTTATTTTTTTAAAAAAAGAAAACAATCGATACTTGAAAGAAATATAAAATTTAAAAAAGAATATAATTCATTAAATGTTTTTAGACGTTGATAATATCTATCGAGATGATAGATCTTGCCCAAAAATAAAAACAGTTTAGAGATGAACTGGCAAAATAATGTGCAATATTTAGATATGAAGAAAACGAAAAATTTTTAAATTTTTTAAATCCATAAAATATAGCTATTAATTAAATTAAAAACATATACATTATTTAAATATATATTAGAAATTATGCTAAATTAAATATTATGTAATCAACGTAAATTTTGATCCGAGGTAACATTTTAACTACACAATCTGTATCAAATAACTTTGCAAATCAGGAAATTTAGAATTTTATAAGCGTAAAATAATCTGCTGAATATTTGGAAAAAAGAGGATCATTTGGAAGAGATTTATTGCTTAAAACTATATGAAATTAAAATGCCCGTCTTTAGTTATATTTTTTAATATATAGCCTGACTACTTTATGACATATGGGACATTTATGCAACTGATATATTTCCATGTACAATTATCTAAATACAATTAAATTTTTAAAGGCATGATTTTTTTTAAATTTTAAGGTTTCGGAATATTTGTTCCGATTATGACATTTTCCTTAAAAAATTCTTAAGAATTTTTTAAGGAAAGAATTTTTTAAGAATTTTATAAGATAAGTATCTTATTCACCATATCACTGACGGCGATTTTCTCTTATCATCGGCAGATGGCAGCACAATAATAGTCATTTATAACTTATGAATAATATGAATGTCCTGATTTATGCTTATCTGAACCAAGAAGTTTATTTTATACAATTTCATTAAAAATTTTTAAAAAAAAATTCGTCTCAATGGTTTAAGTTATCGATAATATGTTATGAAGGGGAAGAAAAAAAAAGATTAAAAATACGCGAATAAGGATAATAATGATGTTAGCATAATCCCCTTGATCATAGTGTAAAATAAAATTATTAAATTATTGTGTGAAATAAAAGAATTTTTAATTGAATTTCAGTTACATTTCTATGGTTGCTTGCAGCTTTATGATATCCATAATAATAAAATATCTAAATTCATAACAAAGCTCGTATCCTTTTGCTCATCAATACAAGTCAGTTAGGAAACGAAACTAAACATATTTTTTATTTGACCAGTAAAAGAGAGATCCAAATTTAATTACTCGATGCAATCTTTTTTTCTTCTTCTTTTAATAGAATTTAAAAAAAAAAAAAAAAAAAAAAAAAAAAAAAAAANAAAAGCAACGAAAATTGAAAATAAACACCGTTAAAACGGCTATAAATCTACCACCGGGATGCAAGTTATTATCTAATAGGAAAATGCCTGTAACTGCCGGTCAAGTAACCTGCAGTTAAGAAACCGACGGTCAAAAAATAATGGTGGAATCGCTTTTGAACTCTCGGTCAAAGTTTCCAAACCTGGGGTTTTGGAACTGAGAGTTACGCGTTAGGTCAGAGTCAATGGTGAATACGGGGGTAAAAATTGAAAAGGGAACTATTTCCCCCTAAAAAAGGATATTGTTTTTTCACAAATATTTGCCCAACCTTTAATTTACCCAAAATATACAAAGTTCTTAATTTTATCATCAAAAGAATCTTTATTTCTAAAGAGAATTTATTTAAATTAAAAATAATTCCTCAGTTAAAATTGCACATTCTACGAATTGGTTTTAAAATGAGAGAGAATTTAAAATAAATTCTAGAATTTTAAAAAGTGTTACATGTAGTAATAAGTAACATATTAAAAATATCGGTATTTTAAAAACGAATTGAAAGGACTATGAAAATAGATAATCAATTGCAATAACTTCTGAAAAAGTGATCAGAAATTAATGATTTTTTAAAATAGAATCATCCCAAATCAAGCACATAAAAAAACAATTACTACAATATGAAATTTGCTAGTCATAGCAGTGTATTAATTGCATCCGAATAGTTATAGTACTTGGAATTCAAATATTTAAATAGAAGGTACTTGCCTAGTACGTGCAGAGTCCATATCCAGCACTAATTTTCCAAGCTGTTTCCTTAACTTAGTAATATTATGGATCTCATTCTGCAAAGAAATTTCAACAAACAATAATCAGAATCAATTATTATAATTGAAAAAGATACAATAATTAATGTATACACCACTCTGATCTAAGCACCATACAAAGTTTGTTTTTTGAAAGAATAATTAAACAAAAATCTAAATACGAAAATCCAACTATAAAATACTGTTTATTTTGCTGTTGTTTCAAATGCCTTTTTAAAATTAACTGTAACAATGACCCTAAAGAGTTGAGCGATAACAAAAGGTGGAATGGCTTTACATCCAGGGGTCATATTCCAATGTACATAAAGAGCAATGAAACAGTCACGCATTTCCCCTAATTTTTCCAGTCATGTTTACTAGAAGACACACTTTCGTCGCATTAGTTTGATTTCACATGGGATCTGTTCTTTATGTTTCATTATGTTATCATGCAAAATAAATTTAATATTAGCAAGAATTTTTTTAAAAATGCTTGGTCTTTATAGAATATCAGAGGAAAAGAAATTCTATGTTTTCTAAAAAAAGAAATAAAAATTAACTGAGAACAAAAATAAATTCAGATAACAATACAAATTTAGATGAACTGAAATAATTTTTCAAGAAATTTTTTTTTACAAGAGTTGACAAAAGAAGGTTATGGAAGTATTTATTTATTAACTAACCAAGAAAAGTAACTTAAAATATCCAAATGTGATATTAATCAATGCAGTGACAGAATAAACTCTATATTTACATCTAAAACACCAGCAATAGGCTTTAAAATGAGTTTCTCCACTTCATTGCAGTATTCTAAAAGTTCAGCACCCAGTTTACTTTGTACTGTAGCACATTCTTTCAGTGTGTCTCTAAAAATGCAAAACAAGAATTACATAATGTTTCAAAAGAAAAAAAAAATCTGGTACTTACTATCATCATTATTATTTTGAATTAGAAAATCTAGTTTGTAAAAACTAGATTTACAAGTAGAATTAGAAAATATTTGTAAAAACTAGAATGTTTGTAAAAACTAGATTTAGAATAGAATGATAATGAAAATCAAATTGAAAACTAGAGAATTAGAATAAAAAAACCAATAACTTCTTTTAAACCATATTTTCCATTAAACGAAATAAAAAAAAGATATAAATGATATAATACCACTTTCAATCCTAAGATTGTAATCTTAACTAATAATCTAAATGGACTGATATTAATGGTAAATTGTAAACAAAGAAGAAAATAATGAAAATAATGAAAAATATAACAATAACAGAAGCTGACGTCGTCAGAGGGTAGCAGCCCTGGAAGTCGGAAAAATACAAAACCTTCTCTATCGAGAGAGCACGACAAATATCTAAAATTTGCTGTCTCTATACTGAGGCTTTGCAAGAACTCCAGGAAAAGAAGATACGAAATACAAAAGTTAATTAAATAAACTAATTACAAATGGAAAAATAATTTTCAAAAAACCTATTAGGATGGTTTTTAGGTTATCACTCCTTGATGTTGTATTGCCAGTCTTGTTCATATGATAAACAAATTGCAAATATGTTGTGAGTCATAATTTTTATGATGCAATATTGTTATTTGTACTCACATGAAATATGAATCTTACACTTTATATCACATTCATGATAACATTTGGCACATCACATAGCAACTAAAATATGTATTAACTTTTTACTTAAATTAGATAACACTTTATATGATATTTGAATTACACACTCGATTAATTCTAATATTCCAGGTGATAATAAGGGGTGTCCAGAAAAGGACGGACTGAATCAAAAATCTCTGCAACAAAGGAAGAAAGAGGAGTGACACAAACAGTAAGTTGATTATAGCTGTAAAAATTAGGTACAAAAATTTTGCAATTTAGCTGCAAAAGTTGCCCCACAGATGGTGTTTTGAGCCACCAATAACTAGAGCAATCTGCTCTAGCAGTTAAATATGAAAGAAGGACTCTATATTGGATTAGAAGGTTTTAACATAATATTCTATTGAACATTTTGTGCTTGTGATTTAAACTTTATATTTTTCTCTAGAATATAACTAAAACTAAACTCAGTGGCGCGACAGCCCATGGAGGGCCAAGGCCTACTGTGCTCACCTCAGTTTTCTTGACCTTGGGCTCTGGGGTGCAGGAGCAGATGTTTCAGTTAGGTGGTCAGCCGAACACGAAACTTCCAGTGTTTAGTTCTCAAGCATGCTTGGTGCTCATTTATCGACCCACTGACGGGATGAAAGGTTGAGTCAATCTTGCCCGGCCCGAGGATCGAACCCAGAACCTGTGGCATGGGAGCACGGAGTGCTACCCTCAGCCACCAGGCATCCTAGAGTATCACAGGTTAGATAATAGTCCAATGGGATTTGTATTCTTTTCATGAATTCTGTACAAGTGCCCTCTGTTGGAAACTTTTGTAACTAAATTCCAAAATTTCTGCATAAAAAATTTACAGTCTTCATAATAGACATACAGTTTGTTTAAGTTCTCTATCATCCATTGTTCCCCAGATTTTTATTTTGGAAATCGTCAGTTCGTTTCTGGAAACCCTGTATGAATTAATTTTAACACTGGACTTTACCTGAATAAAAATTCCTACTTTGTTTTCTTGTTGCGCTATTTATGGAATGGTCATTTTTTACTCTTATTTTATGAATACTTTTTACAAGGATTCTTTCATATTTATAATTTTTAAGGAGTAATATTCATTTCAATTATTTGAATATTCAGATTTGAGGAGTTCTACTGTAGTTCAATAATGTGCATGGCAAAAACTTACCCTAAAGCAGATGTCTTAGAGAAAGAATTGCCACTTTCCAACATGGAGGCACCAAGACTCACTTGGGGAATTTTTCTCTAAATATACAGACAAAATAGATTAGAAACGACAATCTCAATTCAGGCAGTCAGGTGACTATTACAGTGTATTTGCAACTATTGGAGTTATGCAATATCCAAAATGAACTATGTACAGATTGATACAGCAGTTTAAACTTTAACCAAACATCTATATTTTTGAAAAAACTTTACTGGCATCGCTTTACTTGGTCAGATTGTTTAACTATTTAACATATTCATTCAATTTCTTTTCTTCTACTATACCTTTAATTATTTTACAGTAGGGAACCGATTATCCGGAACGATCGGGACCATCGCTATTCCGGATAACTGATTTTTCCGGTTTTCTGAATCGCTACAAAAAGCCGTTTTTTTTATTGTTAAACCCAACTAAAAAATTTTTTTTGTGTGGAAATAATCTTAAAAAGAAGAAAAAACGATGGAGATGGATGGCTGTACTAATGATTATTTCCAAAATGATGGTAAGGTAAACATCTTTCAAAAAAGAAAGAAAAATCCTGAAATCTTATGAGGAAAAAAATTTTATTTTTTTAAAATGGCTGTAAAATTTATCTAATTTCGTTCCGGTTTTTTGGTTTTCCGGTTTTCTGATTTCCGGATAACGGGTTCTGTACTGTATTATACCTTTTAATCAGGGTTGGCATTTCGTTCTGAAGAAAGTTTCTTCCAAGACACTGGAAGAAACTGGACAAAACAGACGAAACTAAAAATTATCAATATATTTATTTAGCAACAAGCATTATAAGAATAACTTTGATTTAAACTATTTAAATTTAATATAGTATCAGATTTCATATTTACTTTAAAAAAAAACTTTTCATACAATATATATATATATATTTTTTAGTTTTATACAAAATTTATAAATTATATTACTTAAAAGTCAGTTTGAGCATTCATGTTTAACAGTACATATTTGATTACAAAAATTAGTATGCTATTTGAAATTGTGAATTCAATATGCATTTTTTAATATAGTAGGGGAAAGTTGGATAAAACAGGATAGTCGGGACAAAACGGGATACGTCGCCTAGGGACCAGACTATTACAGCTATCTAGTGGACAACGACAGAAACGTGTTATTCGACCGTGATTATATTATTCTCGGTGCGTCCCGTCTCGAGATCACTATTCGATAGAACGTTGTAGGTCTCAGAACTTTTTTATTCTATTTTCTTGCCGTTTTCTACATTTACGTACATAGTTTTTTACATTGTACTGCCTCTATATATGGGAATAAAATTCCGGTGAATATTTAATTTGATTAACCATTTATTTACCAATACTTTTATGTGCAGTCTATCTAATTTTCTTTGCACATTTAGGCAGCAGCCATGTTTGCTTCAAAAAGGGTCAGAGTCGGACAAAACGGGACACTTATGGGTTGGGCAAAACGGGATAGAGTTTTTTATGTCCCGTTTTATCCACCTATTTATTTGTTGATTATTACATTTTAAAATAGTCATATATTAATGTAGGCCTAGACTTTTTGAACAGCTTATTTATTTAGCTATATATATTTTTGAAAAATTTAGTCTCTTTATATAGTAATGCAAAATGTGTTTATTAACGTTCATTATTAAGCATTTTATTTTTGACTCTAGGATTTCCCATCTTTCTTTAGAACTAATTGTAATGTATTTCTCTGATGAAGACTTGAGCTTTTTTATATATAAACTTCTTAATTTTCTGGATTGCTCAATTCAATCTGCATTCAATTCTAAAATGAATTTTTCTCTTCGTAACTGAAGAATTTAAATGCTTGATTATTAAAGAGTCTTTCAGGGATGTTACGACATCAATGGAGTGAATTAGAAATAAAAGTGAATTAGAAAAGGAAGAAAAGGAAATGATTATTTAACTACAAAAAAAGAACCAAGAGAATTGAAGAAAAGGCTGCTAAGAAATCTCTATTAAGAGCACAAGGCACATCTTGACAACGAAAAATGTGAAAATAAGCCTTCATGTTTGAAAACTCATAGTCTTTAAAAACAAATGTAGCATCATATTTTTTTGTGTACTTACTTATAAAACAACAATCTATATAAAAGTGTTAGAATAGTAAAATACCATGAACATAATTTATAGAAATTTTGCTTTGCAGTTCTCTGTCAGTTAATTATGCTTTTCACTCAGTTTTATGCAAAAAATTAAACATTGTAAACCCTATCCCGTTTTATCCAACCCAGATATGCTAAAACGGGATATGTAAGAGTTTGGAAATAAATTTTTTTTTTTCTATTTCACAGTCATTAAAATTAGTTGAAAATATGTTTTTTGCATGCTTCAATAAAAGTTGTAGCTACAAAAAAAAAAAAAATGTATGGTTTTCCTTAACAGATATTCCGTACTAAATAAAAACAATAATGATATCCCGTTTTGTCCAACTCTCCCCTACATGCTTAGTATAATTTGTTAATTTAAAAACATTAATAAAATCTGATAGTAACAGTTATTAAATAATTTAAAATTAAGTTTTACTAAACTCATTTGCGTAAGCGTTGAAGAACTACTATTACTTTAATTTCTTATGAAATTCATCAAATTATTTTTTTTCTCCAATTGCTGCTTCTCAGGTTTCACTCATTTGAAAAATTAATACTTATATTTAAACTAGATTGCAATTAAATCACTTCTTTTTATTGTAAGTGTTAAATAGCAGACCCAGTTCTAAATTTAAGACTATTAAAGTGCAATTCCATAGACTTGCAATTTTGAACCTAAACCAGAAGACAAAAGAAATCATGGATCAAGCATTGAGACAAATTAGTCTTTGCATAGGACCTTTTGATGTAACTAACCTGCTTTTGTGTTGCGCAAAGAGGAAAACCACGAAAGAAAAAAAAACATTTCCCACAGTTAGCCTGACAGCAACAGGATTCTAAACTGTGATACGTATATCACAGAGGATATTTTTATGTCAGCACTATGTTTGGTATGAGCAGGGAGCAGAATTCATATCAACCAACCACCACTGGGATTTGAACCTTGGTCACTTCACTGATAAGTAAATGCTCTATCCCCTGAGAGGGAACTATATTTTATTTTACATTTCTTCAGATTCTTTTTCTTCTTCATAATTTTTTAGTTGACACGACGAGTATAAATGTCAAATAGAGATTTAGTCAGATGTGTATACACTTGAAACACTAATAACTGGCTAAATCAACAACCCTCATAATTCCACTATTATGGGAAAATTAAATTAATTCCTCTTTAATGCTTAGTTACTACGAAGACTTTATAAAGCTCTTTAATTTTCTGCATAAAAACATACTTTTTCTCGTAGTTCATAAGCAACAGAATTCAACTTAAGCACTTGAGTTCATATATTGTACAAATTTTTTTAAATTCCATTTCTAATACTTGGAGAAAACTTATTGAAATAAAAGGCTAAAATTTTTTGTTACAAATTCTAGATAGTCGATTAAGCAACAGTTAAAATGAAGAAAAACAAGAGACAAACAAGAAGAAAAACAAGAGACATACCAAACGTTTTTCCAAAGAAGTTTCAGACCCAAAATCAATTTGAGTAGAAATAATCTTTTTGTGAGTGGACTGGCAAGACAATTTAATGGAATCCACCCGCTTCTCAGCAGTCAACAGGTCTTCAGTCAAAACATCAGTCTTCTCAGCCCTATAACAAAGAAATATTTATATTCTCGATAGAGGGGGACGATTTATGTATTAATATTCTCGACATAGGGTGACGAGAAATATTTATATTCTTGTCAAAATTTCTTCAAATGAAAAGTTTTCCAAAAAAAACTTTCTCTATGTTTTTCAGTAGAATTTTAAAAGTCAAAAAGGTAGATTCTCAGAGGACTTTTTATAGCACTTATTTAAACTTTCCATATTTTTCTCAGGTTACATTTTGCACAATTTAAACAGCAACTACAGGTTATAATTCTAACTTAGTAACCCACAAGAATAAAATTAAGTATAATTTTGTTTTACTTAAGATTTGTCACACTCGTTAATTTGCAAGTTACAACAATGAATCCCCATTTTTTTTGTAACTTTATAATCAAAGCATGATTGAACTTGATTGCAAAAGAATTATGCACACAAACATGAGCTAAATTTATTATGTTATAGCATATTAACTGTAGTGGCCAAAAAGGTGCTAGCAACATAACTAATCGTTTGCATTACATAACCAGTGACTCACATACCAAGAATTGTAGAGGTGTAATTCTCCAGTCTAGATTTAAAAAAAAAAAAAAAATGCCAGCCAGCAGATTTATGTCAGCAATAATGTAACTGAACTTTAAACGTACAAAACTAAAATTTGTTTTCTTCATTTCTAATAGCTGAAGGAGAAAAGTAGAATAATTCTGAGAACCAAAGTACATTGTTTCTTTTACTTGATGCAGGTGTTCGATCAGTTCTTAAGTTTTGGGTCATGAGGACTGGCAGTTTCTAACGTATAGCGGAATAACTGCACAACATTATATTTGAACACACTCTCTTCTTCTCAACTCAAACAATACTTTTCAACATTTGCAACATATTGATGTCTATTTTATATAAGGTTTAATGACTACAAAAATTGTTATATAGGTTTTCAGGCCTTTGGCAAATATCGACACTAGCTGTGGTTTTATTTTGCAGTCTTCATCAGTATCACTTTGCACTTTTTCAGCTTCTGCAAAAATTTATTGAAATAACACCACAACTTTCGACATATTCATCAACTGATGCACTAACATCCAATTAGCGGTTTGATTTGCTTTCCCCATACACTGACAAATCCCCATTTTCTTCTTCATCATTAGCATCAGCATCCAATGAAATAATTTGTTGTTAATATATATTTTTTAAACAGAATTTCTAAATGATAATTGCAAAAATCTGCCAATTTCAAAAGTCATCTAACCGGTTTTTAATAAAATTATAAGTATAGCATTTGCAATGAGACTGTTAAAAAAAAATACGTACCCAAAAAAATGAGTGACTGATCTAGGATTGGCTATATACATAACTGAACAAGGTAAAGGTTTATAAGCAAAAAGAGGTTGAGTAGATAATCTGAGTATGATTTCCAGATGCTGTAATATGTTGTCATAATATTATCTTTTCTTGTTTAATAGATGTTTTAGTAAATTCAAAGACACTTGCTTGCATTTTTTACTACACCATAAACTCTAATACTAATTTAGCTATAACCAAGTAATAGTACACAAGAAACTAAAATAATAATAATAAAATAGATAAACTAATAAAATTTGCTTGTTTAATTTCTAATTTTTTCAAGTTAAAATACATTTGCCCATATACAAATTCGCAACATTCGGGCAGTGGCCCACAAGAACCTCACAGAAGAGGACCAACTCGTATGGTATAACTCATAGTGAACCCAGGACAAACCTCTACATGCATAATTAATGTACTAAATTTTAGAAAATTTGCAATTGAAAATCAATTTAAAGCTTCAGCAATTGTAGTTAGCACAGCAGATCACGATACAAAATATCCCCTACAAATTTATATAAAAACCTTAACCATATTATTGGAATCTTAATTTGTAATATTTTATGGTTTAAGGAAGATTTTCCTACAGTGATCTCCAGCAGAACAAGTCTTGGAAACTTTTGGCAAGCGGCCCTTGATAAACTAAGAAAAAACATTTTAGAAGGGGACCAACTTCCAAGCAAACCTCTATATCTTATTTTTATAAAAATTCATTTTGGTGATTGTAGTCAGGGAGATTTCTTTGTATCATGATCTACCAAGTCAACTACAATAAATTGATTTTAAACAAGAAAAATTCAAATGATATTTCAATTAAAATGAAATGATTGATGGATATATTATTGACTATACGCAATCTTAAAAAAAGCATCAGATTCATTACAAATCAATGTGATTAATGTTATAATAAATTGAATGCTTCAAAGGACAAAAAATTATTAATTTACTTACCGTAAAAATGTTTGATCAGCAATTTGTTTAACTCTCAAAAATTGCTTTTTCATTTTAATTTTACTGCCTCGAAACTTTTACAAAAATATTTAAAATTCAATCATATTATACATGTTTAAAACTTCACTAAAATTGATAAGAACAATTTTTAAAGTTATAATAAAACTTGAATTAACTTTTTAATTATATTAAAAAACTTATATGAGATAGGACAGGTCTGTTTATATTTTTGTGAGAGCCTCACTTCACCCAAAGTTTAAACTCGATATCGAGTTCAACGTTCGTAATGTAACAAAAAAGTTTGTAACTTGGCTCTTGGTGGCCAAGGTTCTCAAAATGAACGGCCATACAATGAAAGAAATTGGACGTTGGCAACAGTAGATCAACTGTTACGGTTACTTTGGCTTGGCATTTTTTCGCGTGATTGGCGTATTTCTCTATACAACCAAGATGAATTAAACTTACAACAATACCTTAAACAAGATAATGAACTTGAAATTAATAATTTAACTCAGAATATACACATTAAATTTAGAGTAAAGAATTCCAGAATCAATATTTTTAGTTTTTTCCCTTAAACAACCCGAAGAACCAGAATTTTACTTCGACCTGTTAAATGGATCAATTTCTTTCTTTCTTTTTTTTTTTTTAAATAATCATCTTTGAACAGCTGGCCCAATTTTTGGGTTTACGACTACTAATGTTCAACTGCGTAGTTTTGCAATTTTGAACCCAATCCAGAAGAGAAAAGGGACCTCCTGGATCAAGTATTGGGAAAATTTGCCTTCGTGGAGGATTTTTTGATGGAACTAACCCGCATTTGCATTAAATGGAGGGGAAAATCTCCCACTGTTGGCCTGACGTCAAGGGGACTCTAACTCATGATTCGTTTACCACTGATTATATTTAACTTCAGAACTGTGGTCGTTGCGAGTCAGGTATAGAATTCGTATCGACCAGCCATCGCTAAAATTAGAACCCATTTCACCTCATTGGGTGGCGAGCGCTCTATCCCCTGATCCATCCGGGTTTCAGGCTAAAATTGAAGAAGAAAACCATAAATTAACTGAAACAATGTCATCATTTAAAATATTTGAGTATAAATTAAAATCACTGTTTTTCAGTCAATTAAAAATAAAGTTTTTTCGAGAAAACAGGGAAATAACACGAATGGGTTGAGTAATCAATCTTCTTTCAAATTTACTATATTATTCTTATCTTATTCCGCAGCGCACTGATCGTAAAGACACGGTTTCCAAAAGAACATCGAAGTCAAGCATCAATGGTTGCGGTCAGTAAACCGGTAGGTGATCACTTTGATACACCTGCATAGGGACCGAGGATGCACAGTATCGGTCCTCGTTAAACTGTTCTACCGAAAAGTGCTCCACTTCGTCCGCAAGTCATCGGGCAACCAATTTTACTTGACATTATTTTAGCGAATGTTTAAATATCAGGAGGAGTGAAACATATTCTTCGTCCCCTCACTTAAATTTCAGAGAGTGCGACTGTCCTTCTATTGTAATAGTAAATACATATTTTTTATTACATGAAATATTTATCGACTTATAGATAAATATTTTATAATAGTTGCATTCATACAGTTGACGCCCGGTGGCTGAGCGGTAGCGCTGGCATGCCACAGGTCCCTGGTTCGATCTCTGGGCCGGGCAATGTTGATATTATTTTTTTAATCTCGTTTTACAATATTTTCGCGGTAGTTTAGCATACGAAAGGCGTTCTATGTATAATTACAATTGTCTTTCTTTGTAAAAGAACGCATAATGGAATAAAATTGAAAATAAATAAAAATTGCGTGAAAATGTTTCAAATTTCAAGACCGCTTAACTTCCTTTAATACTAAGTTATAATTTTGAAACTCGGATCGAAGGTTGACCTCTACATGCCGAAACACCCCTCCAAGGAATATTTTTATACATCGATTAGAAGGGTCGCTATGGCCCCTTAATTCTTTTGTTTACCTAGCCGGGAGCGGGTACTTGAAGCTATGTAGTAGCACGTTTTCCGTATAAGCGTGGTCAAACGGTAAAGACCATGTGCTAGTGACTTACGCCTGTAGCGAGGGAGCAAGGGTTCGAACCCCGGCTGTTATGGGTTTTTAAATTTATTTCTTTTTTTTTTCTGTTGTTTATTTTACAATACATTATTTGTTAAATTTTTTTTTGCGATAAATTAAAGGTTCCTATGTATAAAAAAAAATTTTTTTTTGTTAAGGAAATTTCAATTAATGCTTAAAAACTTGAAAAATCCCGGA